CCCCCGGCCAGCTTTCCCCCAGTTTATGTACTGAGCATGATGTCACATGGTATGGAATACCCCTTTGGCCAGTTTGGGTCAGCTGTCCTGGCTGTGCCCCCTCCCAGCTTCTTGTGCACCCCCAGCCTGCTCAGTCGGTAGAGCACGGGAAGCTGAAAAGTCCCTGACTAGTGTAAGCACTGCTCAGCAACAACTAAACCATCGGTGCGTTAGCAACATTGTTCTCACCCTAAATCCAAAACACAGCACTGTGCCAGCTACTAGGAAGGAAATTAACTCTATCCCTGCCGAAACCAGGACAAATGTCAAGACAAACGTCTTGGGCTTTGATGGTGTTACTCTCACAAATAAATCTTCGTTGTCCCCGTACAATGCATGCGTTAACATCGACAGTTTGCCATTTGTTTCCATTCCGTTGGGCCCACACTCTCTGTTTTAATGGATAGAGTATTGTGGTCTAATCCTTACGCAATGACTGGGTATATGGTGTATACCGAAGCATCGTGTATTGTTAAGACAAAAGCTGTGGCTTTATTGTTGATGGGGTCGTAAGTGAAATTAATCAAATACCACCAGGACTGGAATTCTTTCTCAAATTTAGTTGCATTATCCCAAATTACCTTTCAAATTTCAGTGTGTAAGGTGCTCTCTTCACCTTCTCTTATAATTGCTGCTACTGTAGATTGCATCCACAGTTGAGCTTGGATACAACTAAGAGCTAGAGAAACATTATTTTGGGCTGCACCAAGTGCATCCACAATCAGTTGGTGGTCCCCTTCATTAATTCTTTCCCACTGAGGCAATATATCAGATAAGAGCCACTGGTTAGTTCCCAGTGCTAATAGAGAAGACTGCAATGGGTGTTCTAATTTGTTTAAATCACTTGTGGTTGTGCTCAGTTTATTGATGAGTGCTCAGTTTTTACGAAGAATGCTCGGCTTACGGGGCTTCCAATAGGCCCATATCGATTATTTAATTGACAGAGTGCTCTGGGGAGTCGCGTATCCCATTAAGCCTTATGTGACTTGAGATTCCTTTTCAATAAGCCATTAGCTCTTTCTACCATCCCATTTAGAATAGAATCATAGAATAGAATCATTAAGGTTGGAAAAGACCTCTAAGATCATCGAGTCCAACCGTCGACCCAACACCCCCATGCCCACTAAACCATGTCCCTCAGCACCTCATCTACATGTCTTTTAAATACCTCCAGGGATGGTGACTCAACCACTTCCC